TTTCATTGAAATGTGATGATTAGTACTTGAGATCAGTGGAAAAACCGAAAATTGACTAATCATTATGCAAATTAGGTAATTAGTATCCACGGATAATTACCAAAAACTAATCAAAACCTAGCATTAGTTCAGAGCATGTATGTACAAAGTTTCATCAAAATCCAATGAGTGGTTATTTAGATATCAGTGGAACAATCATGGAACAGCTAAAAATCAGCTAATTATCATGCAAATTAGGTAATTAATATGCACGGATTTTTACCAAAAACTAATCAAATCTGCGCATATGTTCAGAGCATCTATGTACCAAGTTTCATCAAAATCCAATGAGTGGTTGTTTAGATATCAGTGGAACAATCATGGAACAGGTAAAAATCAGCTAATTATCATGCAAATTAGGTAATTAATATGCACAGATTTTTACCAAAAACTAATCAAATCTGCGCATATGTTCAGAGCATCTATGTACCAAGTTTCATCAAAATCCAATGAGTAGTTCTTTAGATATCAGTGGAACAGTCATAGAACAGCTAAAAATTAGCTAATTATCATGCAAATTAGGTAATTAACGAGCATGGATTTTTACCAAAACCTAATCCAATCTGCGCATTGGCCCAGAGCATCAAGTTTCATCAAAAACCGATGTATGGTTCTTGAGATAGCAGTGGAACAGTCGGACACACATACACACACACATACAGACGCACTAACTGCAAAGACTCCCATTATGTGCTTCGCACATGGGAGTCAAAAACTGTAAAAGTGAATTTATTTCACCAAATTGAATAACTAAAGTAAGAAGTTTTCAATATCATTGCTTAGAGGATGCTGACATATGTATAGTAATGATCTCAAATCTGTTAACATATGTGTTACCTGGCAGTAGATCTAAGCTTAACAGAGCCCAGGCCTTTTAATAAATCACCCATACTGGGAACACTGGGTGCAGGTCTGCTCCTCTTCTCTGGATTGCAAGCTTTGTTCTACAAATAATGACAAGGTAAAGTTGACGTTATATTGAGAGGGGGGGGGGGTTGATCACTCCACTTGAAAAATATCCAAATGACAATTTTTTAGTTAACCATGTGCCAGATTGGAATATAGTACGTCTTTTTAGGAATGAATGAATAAAATCAATAATGATCATTAATGATTCTCACAACAGTTTAACAATGATGAAACAGAAATAATATGCACATTTTATTACAATATTATTTATATACAAACAGAATGTATGGTGTAACAATTACATTGTAGTAGGATCTGTTGGAAAACAGACTCAAGATCATTATCTTTGTTGACAAATGTTTTTGATTACATGCAAATTATACGATGGGTAATTTCGACAATGATGTTTTTCAAGTTTGGTATTAACCAATCAGAATGCTGTGTCATATATTGTAAAATAGTTTATTTTAGCTGAAATTAGGCGCCCCATCCACTTTTGCGCAATTTTTATATTCAGGGTCACATTCGGCAAAGTGCTCACCTTAGTATTTTTTGGAAGATGGCTAAATTGTCAGTACCATACTCTACCACATTAGCATCCAGGGTCCTC